TGTATTGTAATTTCCTCAATTTCATTTTGTTCAGCAGGGTTTGTCTTGCGTGGAGGATCTGACACACCTAATTGTTCTTCTTTTTAGCTTTCCAACTTGTTGTAGCCATAAACTTTAACCCTATCCGTACGTCGTGTTTTACTATCGTATCCATTAACCCTATCCGTATGTCGTGGTTTACTATCATATCCATTAACCCTATCCGTACGTCGTGTTTTACTATCGTATCCATACGACGTGGGGAACTCTTTGCCACCACTTTCCAAAGAGGAAATTTACTCGTTAATCCGATCCGTACGCTTTGCATAGCAGCTTGTCAAAATTATTTTTGAGAAATAATGAAAGTTTCAAAGAGATCTTCGTACTCGAAGTATTCTAAAATGTGAAGGATACAACCCTGGGGATATAATAAAATGACCCCTGGGTGTACGGATTGGGTTAAAGAGGAAGGACAAACACAGCTTTGTCGAAACCAGAACTCGTTCTAGATCTATCTGTTTCTTTCACTATCACGATGATACCTTTCAACTTATTTTCTTTTTTGGTGAGAGATAACAGATCTAGATCAAGATCAGTACCTGTCAAACTAGGCAGCATCACAGGTGTGGTCATTTCGGTACATGTACCGGAAGCGGGAAATTTTACAGGTGTTGTTTTTGGGTCGCGCGCTAGGAACTCTACAAGGCCATGTAGATATCTAGCCTCTTAAATGTGGCAACATCTTTTTTTTATTTTTTAAAGTTTCATTAAGAGTTTTTCGGCACTTGCAACACAATAAGGTCATATAAGTGCCGAAGATTAGAGGTGTTACAAGAGAGTAACAAACATAAAAAAGAAGGAGGAGAGATCGGGACGATAGATGTTTGTTAGGAAAGAAGGAGCAAACCACACCAGAGCACCTGCCAACCACCCACCTATAAACCTTTAAGAGGGTGGAAAAACACAGCGTTGTCGAAAACCAGAACTCGTTCTGTCTGTTTCTTTTACTATCACGATGATACCTTTCAACATTTTTGCGGTGAGAGATAACAATAGATCTAGATCAAGATCAGTACCTGCCAAACTGGCCCAACATCCCAGGTGTGGTCATTGTGGTAAGCAGTGTGAAATGGTCCATGTGTTATCTTTGTGTCACGCTTGGAAATGGCGCTCATATGTCCTTAAGCAGTTGCAAGCAGTGTAAAACATCAACTAAAACTTTTTAAAAGAAAAACGCTAGGAAATACAAGGCCATGTCGGTGGGCGGTAGGAAAATGTAAGCCTCTTAAAGGTGGCAACATCTCTCAGCTCTCAGCCCTCAGCCCTCAGCTTTACCTCCCCTTCTTTCTTTTTTGAGTTTGTTGCTCTCTTGAAACACCTCTGTCTGATCTTTGGCCCTTATCATATTATGAACTAGTGTGTTGCAAGTGCCGTAAAACTCTAACTAAAACAAAAAGGTGACAAAAGTGGGCGCTGGCTAAAAAAAGAAAGGGTTGATAAATTAAACAGTGACTTAGATCTATGAACCTTCATAAAAAAACAGGAGGATATGTACGAACTATTGTTACTCACACCGCTCC